GATCTTTATCGGTCAAACTGCATAACAACATACGTTGTTCCCTTTGTCATCGGTATGTTACTTGCCCGAGATTCGATCGTCGGTATCTCAGTACCTAGTTCAATCTCGTTACCGACAAGTCTCTTTACTCGTTCCGTAATACATCATCTCACAACTAACTCATTAGTTGCAATGCTTGCAAGGCTTCAGGTGATGTGCATTACCGAGAGGGCCCAGAGATACCTCTCCGACAATCGGAGTGACAAATCCTAATCTTGAAATACGCCAACCCAACAAGTACCTTCGGAGACACTTGTAGAGCACCTTTATAATCACCCAGTTACGTTGTAACGTTTGGTAGCACACAAAGTGTTCCTCTGGTAAACGAGAGTTGCATAATCTCATAGTCATAGGAACATGTATAAGTCATGAAGAAAGCAATAGCAACAAACTAAACGATCAAGTGCTATGCTAACAGAATGGGTCAAGTCAATCACGTCATTCTCCTAATGATGTGATCCCGTTAATCAAATGACAACTCATGTCTATGGTTAGGAAACTTAACCATCTTTGATTCAACGAGCTAGTCAAGTAGAGGCATACTAGTGACATACTGTTTGTCTATGTATTCACACATGTATTATGTTTCCAGTTAATACAATTCTAGCATGAATAATAAGCATTTATCATGATATAAGGAAATAAATAGTAACTTTATTATTGCCTCTAGGGCATATTTCCTTCAGCCCTGGCGTTGCTGGTAGCCGCCGCCTCCACCGCCGCGAGAAGGAGAAGAAGAGGTGCGATCACCACGGCCGCGCCCTTTGTTCCCTCGTCCGCGGCCTCCTCTGTTGCGGTACTGGCCACGCCCTCTGTATACGGCGTTTGCAGACGAACGGAAACTTGATGGTCCATCGCCCAACATCTCCATCCTCTGATCGAAGGCTGAAATCTGTGAGAAAAGATCATCAACGGTGATTGAGTTTTTGATTGCGCCGACCGCTGCAACGATAGGATCGCAGTCCCGGTCAAGGCCAGCGGGGATGTAGTCGACCATCTCGCCGTCGGTTACTGGACGACCGGCGACTGCGAGCTCATCTCCGAGACTCTTCATCTTGGCGATGAAGGAGTTGCTTGACATATTGCCCTTCTTAGTGTTGGAGATGGCAATTCTCAGATTTGTTATCCTGGATTGGGACTGCGCAGCAAATAATGTGGTGAGAGCAATCCATAGATCATGTGTACTCTCCTTACCAATGACCTGCGCCAGGATTTCAGGGGTTAGCGAGTTCAACAGGTAGCTCAGAACCTGTTGATCTTTTGCCAGCCACGGTCCATATAAAGGATTTGGCTCAATGTCTGTGGTTTTGTCTGCCTTCGCGACCTCCACCGTTCTTGGCGGTGCGGCATCTGAGCCGTCGAGGAGGCCGGTTACTTGTGCGCCTCGCAACGCTGGCATTACCTGCGCTTTCCAGAGAAGGAAATTTTCCCTCGTGAGCTTTTCTGTTGGTGGCGCTCCGAGGTTGAGGGCGACGCTGCTGGAACCTGCCATGGCGATTGGATTTCTGACGATAACTTGGTTTCTGTTTCGCTAGATGAGGGGATCGCTAGATGTGGGAAGAGACTAAGCTCTGTATACCATATTAGATTGGCGAAAGCGTTCCTACTCCCTCGTAAGGGAGCCGCGGTTGTTTATTTATTGAGGCAAAACCTTGCCGTGGAGTATAGGAAAAGGATTAGGAATCCTGCTATTACAAGGAGATAGAAAAGGATACGACAGGGAGAAGGAGAGAGATAGTTCAGATTACATGTATACTACTCAAACTCTAACAAGGGGCTGCGGTCCGTGGATCATGTGCGCATCGATGAAGGCAGGGTCGGAGATGACCTCGCACCACTCCTTGCAGACGTGGCGAAAGTGCCGGAGGTCGCTCGCCGGGAAGCGAAGCAGGACGCTGGCCAGGACGTCTCGCGGGATAGCATCGTTGGAATCGCCGGCCATCGCCTGGTTTTGGACGAGAGTGCTTGGTTGATTCAGGATTGATTTACGTGAGAATACATATAGCCGGTGACCTTATAATTGTAGGAATTTGGTAAGCGATTTGTATCTCCTTGGGGAGGCCGCGTGGTTTCTAGTTTCTAGATAGATAGGTGCCGAACAAGGCAGAGATGACAGGTTGCACGTTCCAACAAGATCGATCGACTTGCGTGTCAACAAGATCTAATTTAAACTAGAGGCATAACTCCTAATTCTATCTCTAAAGTGCTTTTTTCCGGGAACTTAGAGCTTTATATCTTCTAATAACACTGTACTTCCTAGTTTCGAAGATCCCACGTTAGATTCAGATCTCCAATTAAAATCGGAGTCACCTGATTTTAATCGGGTCAACAATTTCTCAAAACTTCCGCATTCAATTATTTTATACTATTGACTCACATCATGTTTTTTTATTTTTTTAAGACCTCACAATTAATTAAGGCCTCACAATTAATTGAGGTGTCTAATTTAGAATTGAGTCACACAATTTTGATCAGGTTAGCAATTTCTCAAGGAGATCTCTCATTCATTTCTTTAAATTTCCTAGGTTCCCTAATTGTTGACTGGGTCAACGCTTTCTCAAGGAGCTCTCTTATTCAATTCTTTCATACAATTAAGGTATTCAATATTATATTTGATATGCGATTTTAATCGGGCCAACAATTTTTTAAATCAATCAACAACAACCGGCTTATAAAAACACATCAATTTCACGCACCCTCTCACCACCTAAAAAAGCGCCACCATGTGATACTACAACACCAATATAGTATATGCAGCCATCGACTCAAAAAATTCCCCACATAAATATACGGTGGTTAGCTGATAACACAGAAGCAGACCACCAAAGGCTCATCAAATCATTGTATTATAAATAATAAATAAAACACCCTCCATCATCTCCTTCAGCCAAACTAAATATTCCATCAGTACCTAAATATAAGGTGTATTATTTTGTTGGAAGGTCAATTTTTTTAATTTTGACCAAGTTCAGAGCAAAAAGTATCGACATCCACAATATTAAAAAAAGTATGAAGAATCATTTCATGATGAATCTAATTGTACTGATTTGATATTATGGATTTTGATATATTTCTCTACAAATTTGATCAAACCTAAAAGTTTTGACTTTTCAAAAAAGTAACACGGCTTATATTTTCAAACAAAGTGAGTAATTTTTTAAGAAACCAACGACACCAACGGCGCAGCAAAACACACACAACCCTTCTAGTATATATAATAATCAAAGGGTATGGCTACGTCTTAGTTGACTGAGACTTAACTAAGTCTCAGTCAAGTGACATAGTATATAAAAAGAAAAAATAGAAATATTATTTTTGTACGAATCTTCATGTAAGATCAAAGGAATAGAGCATCGACTGAGACTTAGCAAAATTGATATTCAAATAAGAGTGTTCGCTGAACTATCAGCCAAGAGACTGTTGTCTGCTGATCAGAAAACTTGGAGCTTCAGTAAGCCAGCTCTAGGTGACACACAGTTCTAGCACGCTTAGCACACATTTGCTGGGCACTCCATGCTTACCTTTTCCAGCACCAAGTGTGCATGGCATATGCCATTCTGTGGAAATTGTGACACTTGGGTGATACCGTTTTAGATTTTGTAATGAAAGGAAGAGTTATGAGTACATAAGGGAGTAGCTAGTAGATTTATCAAAGCTTTTACCCGCAAAAAAAACAAAGCTTTTGAACTCGGCAATTTTTGTTACTTGAGAAGAGTTCCTAAACCCAAAATTCAAAATGACAAGTTCCTCCATGCCCAAAAAGAAACCCTCCCTCGCAAAAAGAAAAAAAGAAAAAGAAACCCAACACCTATGATACCAACAAGTGGGCCTGACCCATGCAAAGCAACAGGTGCAAGGCCCAACACGAAGCAACCAGTGGACTGAGCCAGCCAGAGTTCAATTGGAGGCCCAAAACCACCATCCATGGCATTGTCATATAGTACAACTATAGCTTTTAAACGTAGGTGGCGTGCTAAGTGCACTAAAAGACTTAGCAACTTATCTCCCCAATTCATATGTGCTTAGCTTTGAGCAACTATACTCATTCATGCAATTGTTGGTAGGCATTTTGTATAGATCGGCGCACTTGACATTGTTTTTTCTCGGAGTCACCAAAGTGGTCTCTCTTCTTCTTAATTGGTTTGCCACATCAATTTCTTTTTGATAAAGTGGCATTTTAAGCACTTTTTTTTCAAAAGGGAGAAGTACACCAAGGCCTCTGCATCACATGATCCACACAACCATTTATTAATGCGAACCGAGCATCCAAGTTCCAAATAAAGATCCGGAAAACTACAAGTAAAAAAACACCTATACACCAAGGAGCACTGGGAATGGCCTCAGAAATCATTTTAAACGTGCCAATGGTATTAAAGAATTATTTCTTGTTCAAAAACGAAATGAACAGCAGTGGAAAAGACGAGATGCTAGCTCATGTGTTTTTATAGTGGTTGGAATGGGGTGCATGTACCTACTCCCGCTTCCGTTTGAAGTAGGAAAAGGACCCGACTGTAGCAAGAACAATGACCGGGCTGACCGAAGCCGAACGCCCGCGCTCTCTCTGTTCTCTACCTACCGTAGGTACGTGCGTGCTGGAACTGCCCCAGCCGCAGCGTCGCACGCTCTGGAACTGCGGCCGCAGCGTCGCATGGCTTGTCTATATGGTCCATTTGACCGCGGCGCGCGTCACCTAACCCCGGCCGCGCACGCTATATATAAGCCACACCCACCCAGTTCATCTCAGCCAGGCAACAGAATTAAGCATTCGACCAAGCCATCCATCGACCTCCTCGATCTGCATTGGCATCGGTACTCAACTTGCATTGCTCGATCGCGTCGACGTCTAGCTCGAGCAACCTTAGGTTAGCAAGCTTGCTAGGTTGACAAATCTTCTAGGGCTATAGTACACACACTTTGCACTACGTACTCACGTGTGGTGTGATCACATCGTCGTCGTCGACATGGTCGGAAGCAGCCCCATGCAGGCGGTGCTGGTGGCGCCGGGGGTGAAGGACAAGCAGGTGCTCCCCTACAACTGGGACGCGCTCAAGGAGAAGCACGCCGTCGCCGGCCTCATGCGCTCCATCGCCGGCGGCTCCGGCGTGCGCGGCGCCTTCTACGTCCTCGACCTCGCCAGGGTCATTGACCTGTACATGCGCTGGCACCGCGCGCTCCCCGACGTGCGGCCGTACTACGCCGTCAAGTGCAACCCGGAGCCGGCGCTGCTCGGCGCGCTGGCGGCCCTCGGCGCCGGGTTCGACTGCGCCAGCCGCAGGGAGATCGAGGCCGTGCTCGCGCTCGGGTTCGAGCCGGGGAGCATCGTGTACGCCAACCCGTGCAAGCCCGAGGCGCATATCGAGTACGCGGCGCGGGTGGGCGTCAACCTCACCACGTACGACTCCGAGGAGGAGGTGGCCAAGGTGAAGCGCTGCCACCCGAACTGCGAGCTCGTCCTCCGCATCAAGGGCCCCGACAACGGCGACGCCAAGGTCGACCTCGGCACCAAGTACGGCGCGCGCACCGACGAGGTGGTGCCGCTGCTCCGCGCCGCGCAGCGCGCGGGCCTCGGCGTGGCCGGCGTGTCCTTCCACATCGGCAGCGGCGGGACACGCACGGACGTGTACCGCGGGGCCATCGAGGCCGCGCGAGCGGCGTTCGACGCGGCGGCCGCCCTCGGCATGCCGCCCATGCGCGTGCTCGACGTCGGCGGCGGCTTCATGGCAGGAGGCACCGCGTTCGAAGAGGCGGCGGCGGTCATCCGCGACGCGTTGGCAGAGCACTTCGGCGACCTCCCGTGCGTGGAGGTCATCGGCGAGCCGGGACGGTACTTCGCCGAGAAGGCCTTCACGCTGGCGGCGCGCGTCATCGGGAAGCGCACGCGCGGCGAGGTGCGGGAGTACTGGATCGACGACGGACTCTACGGCTCCCTCAACTGCGTCCTCATGGACGACTACGTGCCGCGCCCGAGGCCGCTCGCCACCCCACGCGCCGGCGAGGAGGCGTACACGTCGACGGTGTTCGGGCCGACCTGCGACTCGCTCGACACGGTGGTCACCGGCTACCGGCTGCCGGAGATGAGCGTGGGGGACTGGCTCGTGTTCGACGACATGGGCGCCTACTCCATCGGCTCCGGCTCCCATTTCAACGGCTTCTCCATGTCCGACCTTACCACATTCTTGGCCTGCTCTAGCTAGGTCAGAAACTGTTGGTTTTGATCTGACGGCTTAAACAAGCCAGTTAGATCTATTAGTCTAACAAAAAAAAAAGATGAAGGGATAACGATAAGTGAAGGGGTCCACGTACCAACGTACGTGAGCCTCGATCAGAACTAACGTGCCCTGATCGGGGGCGCCCAAAAACCAACTCAGGTTTTGGGTCCCTGTCGCCAGCGCCATATTAAAAGGGATACGGGAGAGAGCTGGGCACCTGCGAGATCACAATTCACGTAAGGTTTACTCTCCTCCCGATATTCTCTCACCCCATCCGATCAGGGGGAGTGCTGCAGCGACGGGAAGACCTAAGCCAGCCGCCGCCGCTGTCCCTGGGCAGTGCCGGTGGCGCCCTGAAGGAATCAGGACGTCGAGGAGAACCTCTACTTCGACTACATCACCCCTGCATCAAGCCTGCACCAAGCAGGCAATCATGTCCACTGCCGTGACATGTAATGATCCCCTAAACCCTTCTCTGTTCATGCTTTTAGGTGATCTAGATGCAATCAGTTCCTGCTAATGGCATCCCGAAGATGCATAATTATTCCAACAATGGTATCAGTCTCCAATTTTGATTGCAACAGGTCCCTACATTATTGATCTGTAGATCAACATCAAGTTTTAGATAAAGTCAGGTTTAGGGTTTTTAAGATCATGATTGCAAGTCTAGCCCTATGATCATGCTACTATTTGACGTTCATGCCAATTGCCATCTGCAAATAATTATGTGATACACTAATTTTGCTTCGGATCATTACTGTTAATGTCAGTTCCTTTTAATTAACCCATGTTAAAGATTAATGCTCATGGTTATGTCACGGTTAATTAGAATCAATCATGTTTAAGTACTGATTCCGGTTTTTGATAAACAAATTAGAAGGCAGAGGGATCAACAGTAGCAAACCCTCCCATGTTCAAGAACCCTAGAATTTTTCCCCAATTCGAAAGAACCCTAATTCTGAAATTAGGAGTGTTTTCACCACAAATCACGCACTATGTACACGAATTGGAGAAGAATGAGGAGAATCCTCACCTAATGCGCCGCGTAGCCGCCTTTCCCTTCGGGGCCCGCACTACATCCACCGTAGTGCGAGGGCGGAGACGCCGCGACGCCGTCGCCTCCCACCGGAGCGACGCGCGGAACGTCTACTAGCCGCCACCGCCGCTACTCGAATGGACGAGCTCGTCGCCGTCGCCCCTCATGTCGCGGTGGCCGGCGTCCCTCCTCCCTTGATGCGCCATGAAGCACGGACGCCGGGGCCACGTTCGACGGGGGAGCGCGCGGGATTCATCCTGCTGCACGCTCCTCCGGCGAGCGCAGCCGCCGCGCCGCCATGGCCGGCGCGCCTCGAGCCGCCGTTGAATGTCGCCGCCGCTCTCTGTAGCGCTAAACGTGGGGGGTCAGGGGAGAAAGTGAGACTAGGGTTAGGCCGGTCGGCATTTTTGTTCCGGCCGCAAGCCGCGCCGGCCGTCCAATTCGATCGGACGGCTCACAGCGACGCGGAGTGCCGACTCGGGCCGGCGGGCATTAATGGGCCATTTTCGGCCATGGGCTTCAGCCTGGGTTGCCTTAGCCCAGCGCGTTTTTTTATTACGGTTTTTTCGCTGCTCGGTTGGGCTATTGAATAACTGTGGGTATTTTGGGCCGTCGCATTTTTCTGTGTTTTCCAGTGCACTGTAAGTTAATATCTTTCATGTTTTGCACTGTTTAAAATAGAAAATGCCTAAAAATATAATGAACACATTATTATTCTGGGTAAAATTGAACCAACGAGATATTTTATTCAGGATTTATTATGTGTTTTTGGATGATGAACCTTTTTTTTAGATATCAAATAATGATAATATTTTTTTATGTTGATGTTTAAATTGAGAATGAAATGACTCTAATTTTAATTCGGACCAACGTTGTTTTATTATTATGAGTCATCCCCTATGATATTTTAATTCCATGTTTTTTCTGCCCAACAGTGTTTTGACATGGAGTTGAAATTAAATACTTGGCATGTTTGTTTATTTACCAACGTAAATTTATAATCATGCAAGTTTACTTATGAACTTTTATGATGATTTCAGCTTCCGCTCCATTCCGGTCCGACACGATCGAACCACTTACGGGGAGTAACTTCCCTCGTTGGAAGTCCCAAGTCGAATTATGTTTGGGTTGTAATGAATTTGACTATGCCTTGAGGGAAGAAAAACCTGTGGCACCTGTGGCAGGTGTCACAGGGTATGCAGAACTCAAGAAGGAGTATGATGTTAAGATGGAAAAGTGGAATAAGTCCAACCATATTGCGCTTCTCATCATGAAAGCGACAATATCGCCGGACATTTCTGAAGCACTCCCTAAGAAAGATACTGCTAAAGATTTTCTCACTGAAATGGAGGAGCAATTTAAAGGCTCCGACAAAGTGTATGCTCATGAGCTTTTTGCTAAACTCCTTCAGAAATACACTATTGACGGAAATGTTAGGCAGCACATATTGAGGGTGGTAAATGTTTTCACCAAGCTTAAGGCTTTGGAGTGTTCTTTAAGTGAAGCCCTTCTTATCATAATTATTCTTGAGTCTCTTCCTGAAGAGTTTGAACAATTTAAGGTCAACTATAACTCTCTAAAGGAAAAATGGCCACTCTCTGAGATGACCGCAAGGATCGTCCAGGAGGAAGAAAGGATCATGAGGCAGAAGAAAGACCATGTCTTTCATGTTGGCTCTAACAAGAGAAAGCATGACGGACAAGGTTTCCCTAAGCCTCAGAAAAGGCAAGTCAAGAAAGAAGGCACTAAGCCATTCAACCCTAAGGCATTCAAGGGTAAAGAAGCCGGTGGTTCTTCTTCTGCTCCTAGCAGCTCCACTGCTGGAGAAAATGCTTGTAACTTCTGCAAAGAAGAGGGACACTATCAAAGGGACTGCCCAGGCTTTCTAAAATGGATGAACAAAAGAGGTATTGATGAAATTACTTTTGTAGATGAATCACTTTATGTTGATTTTTCAATAAAGTCATGGTGGATTGATTCAGGGGCAACCACTCACGTTGCTAACTCTATGCAGGGATTCGATACGATCCAAACCATAAGAGGAGGAACAAGAAAGCTTAAGGTTGCGAACGGAGTTGAGGCCGATGTTGAAGCTGTGGGATCTCTCACGTTGGAGCTACACACTGGCCACACTCTTAGATTGAATAATGTTCTTTATGTGCCTACCTTAAGTAGGAATTTGATTTCAGTTTCTTGTTTAGATGATGATATGTATGAGTGCCATTTTGGCAAGAAACAATTTGTTTTGATCAAATGTAATAAGAATGTAGGCATCGGTGTTAGACGAGGCCAACTATACATGTTATCTCTTAATAATGATTCAGTTATGCATGTGAGTGATGCAATTAATGTTGAGAAGAAATGGAAAAGAGTATGTAATTCTTCGAAATTGTGGCATTGTCGTTTGGGCCACATTTCGAGGGGGAGAATGGAACGCTTAGTTAAAAATGAAATACTCCTCCCATTAGACTTCTCAGATGCAGACAAATGTGTCGACTGCATTAAAGGAAAATTTGCAAAAACAATTAAGAAAGGAGAGTTAGAGCCACAAGGGTTTTAGAATTAATTCACACTGACATATGTGGACCCCTTAATGTTAAGTCTGTAGATGGTTTTGATTCATTCATTACATTCACAGATGACTTTTCCCGCTATGGGTATATTTATCCCATACGTGACCGATCGGAAGCTTTGGAGAAATTCAAAGTCTATAAAGCGGAGGTTGAAAATCAACTGAACGCAAAAATCAAAGTTGTACGGTCTGATCGCGGGGGAGAGTATTATGGTAGGCATGCTCCTTATGGGCAGATTCCTGGACCTTTTGCCAAGTTCTTATCTGAAAATGGAATCATTACTCAGTACTCAATGCCTGGTGAACCACAACAAAATGGTGTGGCCGAGCGCCGCAACCGCACCCTTATGGATATGGTGCGAAGCATGCTTAGTCACTCTAGTTTACCAGTAAACCTTTGGATAGAGGCATTAAAGACAGCTGCACACATACTAAATCTTGCTCCAACTAAGTCAGCACCGAACACACCTTACGAGATGTGGGCGGGAAAGAAACCGAGCTTGAATTACTTACGGGTGTGGGGTTGCCCTGCTGAAGCTAAAGTTTTCAATCCACAACTTAAGAAACTGGATCCAAAAACAGTTAGCTGTTTCTTTGTTGGATACCCTCATAGGGGAAAGGGATATCGTTTTTATTGTCCAAGACACATCACCAAGTTTGTGGAGACTAGACAAATGGTATTTTTTGAGGATAATGAGGTCACAAATTTAAGGGAGATCAATCTTGAGGAGAAGCGGGTTTGTGTACCATCCCCGACTATCCAAGAGATTGTTTTTCCAATACGAAGAAATGTGACATCTGATGATCATGAATCTCACGGTTTAGTCTCTCAGTCGAATGGTGATCCAGAAACTAATAATGAGAATCCAAACACAAATGAGGATCTCCGAGAAAATAATGAAAATGATGATGTTCCACGTCCACCTCCGCCCATGGGTAGACCACGGCGTGAGAGGAAGAAAGCCATATCAGATGATTATATCACTTTTTTGATGGAGGACATGAATGATATGGGAAAGGTGGAGGATCCAACCTCATATAAGGAAGCCATTAAAAGCGAAAATTCGTCCAAATGGTTGGTTGCCATGGAAGACGAGTTGAAATCTATGGGCTCAAACGATGTATGGGACTTAGTAGAAGTTCCCGATGGAGCTAAGAAAGTAGGCTGCAAGTGGGTCTACAAAATCAAGTATGATTCCAAAGGGAATGTCGAACGGTTCAAGGCAAGGCTAGTGGCAAAAGGGTATACACAGAGAGAAGGCATTGATTATAAGCAAACTTTCTCTCCTGTGTCAACCAAGGATTCTTTCAGAATCATAATGGCATTAGTAGTTCATTACGACCTGGAACTACACCAAATGGATGTTAAAACGGCAT